TAAAGATTCATTTAGTTCCTCTATAGTGAATAGTAGATTATAGCTCTCAGTATTATTTGATTTAAGGTTTAATTTTTATTTTTCCATTTTTTGTTTGAGAATCAGAAATTATTGGCTACCATTCTTGGCAGATGAGTTTTTGGAGATTGTTTTGGCTAATTGATTAGCAGTATCCTTTTTGCTGGCTATTTATCGAGAGATGTTTTATAGTGTTAGAATGATGTTTACCAGCTATTTTCCTTATATTTTATACAGATTTTGTTTTTGTGGCAGAATTAAGTCTGCTGACATAATTTTTCCAACATTCTTTTTGCTTTATTTAATTATTTTCTGTGCTTTTGTTAAAATTGTAACACATTAGAAGTTGAAAGCTGTTTGTTGAAATCTCTCAAAGCTCTTCTTCTTCCTTACACTCATCATTGAACCAAGGTCTGTTACATTTTTTTGTACTGAACTTTTTGGAATGCATTCCTTTGCTATAAATATAAGGATTTCCGAAAACTATTCTAAGTCTTTGACGCATTTACCTAGTTTATCAGAACATCGGTTTTTTAAATTTGTCCCAGTTCGCCTTGCCTAATTTCCAATGGAGAGGATTTTTATCATTATATTTTAAATTTTGCAGAATAATTGGCAAGTGATCACTACTACATGCATCTGCTAGAACCTTCCAAGAGAAATCTGCACATATTGATTGATCACATATGGATAAATCTATTGCTAGTAAATGGATTTATGTTAGTCGGAGTTTTATCATTATAAATACATAAATTATTGTTTTTTATAATTGTTTGTAAAGGCCTTCATTTTGGTTTGTTTCTTTACAGATCTTTATGGTGCTGTGGCAGTTAAAGTCCTCTAGTATTATAAAGGGTGCAGGGAGTTGCCTTACAATTTAATGAATTTCAGCTTATTCATTAGACGGGATATATACTGAGCAAATGTTTATTGGCTTATGTAGGGTCATTTTAACAGCAGTAAAGTAGTTGTCAAATTTATTTTAGTTTGGGGTACATCATTCCTAACTAGGGTAGATGTGCTCCCACATGCACAAAGCCCAGTGTCATGTGTATGGTTATATTGCTGGTATTATTTTATATTCACTTTTTCACCTTGCTTAAGGAATGTTTCCTGAAGGCAAACAACTGCTGGTGACAGGTCTGTTATTAGCAGAAGCAGTTCATTTATATTTGCTTTTATTCCACAGCAGTTCCATTGAATGATCTTATGTATGGCTGTTTAAATGTTTTTGGTCTTTATATTATGTAGCTTTAATTTCTTTTTCTTAGGTTTTCATTTTTGGAGGTTTTAGCCATTTCCACCTCTATCTTTTCTAGTTTGTCAAATCAGTTTTGTGTAGGAACTTTGGTCATTGTGGATTTCTGGTTTTTGCTTGGCTGATTCTGTTCTTTTGGGAGATAAGCTTCTCAATCTTTTTTCCCTGGGTTTTGGTGGATGGATAGGAGATCACTGTGACTTTTGTTTAATACATTTGGTATCTTTGGTAGGAGTGGTTTGTGTTTGAGCTGTCATTTTGCTATTTGTTTTTCTTTATTTATTATGTCAGTTTCTCATTGTCCCAAGTGTACAAGCTTCTCAATGAGGGTTCTATATTTGTCAGGCTTTCATGTAACCTTCTACTACTTGCCTTGCTTTTGAAAATGAGATGTTTCTTTTATATTTTACTTTGACAATTTCCCATTCCTTCTTCCAGAAATTGCATGTTCTTGAGTATGCTGGATGGCTTTTCTGGCAGTTAGCACATCTTATTTCATTATAGCATTCTTCTTCAGAATGGTCTGAATCCCTTTGGCCACATTTTCCACATATTGGGTGACTCCTGCAGCTATCCCTATGATGTCCAAATTTTTGACACCGAAAGCATCTTAGTGGAGCAGGGATATATAGTTCCACTGGCACAATATTATATCCTATTTTTATTTTGGGGGTTATTTCAGGTGTGCCAAAAGAAAGGATATATGTGTAAGTTACAAGTGTTTCCTTTTTTCTTTTAATTGAGATTCTTTGGTAATTGCTGACCCCTTGACTTCCTAAGGCAGGTGTGGCCAGAGACAACTCTTTACTTTTAATGACTCTCTTATAAATATTCAGTCTTGTATGTTTTAACTTTGATATTATGAAAGGTCTTCATCTTTATTATATTTTCTGCATTTTTCCTATATTCCACTTCAACCAGCAAATTGCCATCATTCAACTTTCTAACTGTTTTAGGATTAATCCTACTGGATAGTACCTTTTCAATCAAGAAAGAAGAAAGTTTTGCTAGCAGAGTTTCTTTTAGGGACATGAGCACAAAAGATTTTGTTAATTTCTTTTCAGAATCAGAGTCTGAAAGACATCTTTTGGGCTTTTTATTTTGGTTATTCATAATTTTTGTGTATTAAGATTCACTGCCTGTGCTCCCCACCCACCTCGGAACCCAACATTGGGATGTGTCAAGGAGAAAACCCAGTTGCCTTGACAAGTCAGGGCTACACAAACCAGTATACTCGTATTCAAGAGAGACTGAGCACCCATTAGATCATTTGTTGTACTTCCCAAGTAAGTGTACAAATGGCATGTTCACAGCCATGTCTAAGTCTAGATCTCTTTGAACCAATTGACCCTCTGCTATCACCTTTAACACCTATAAATTGGATAGAGAGGGTATTTTATCCCAGTGTATATTTTGGGTATTGTATTTAGTGATAAAGTACTCCATGAATTAATATAGTTATAGGCACTAGGGCTTGTCATGACCAGCTGATTGATTGGATTAGGCTTCTCTGACCGCCCATCTCGTCCAAGTAAGGGCCAAAGTGGTGTGTTGGGAATCAAAAGTACTCCTGAAGCCCTCAACCACCAGGAACCCATCTGCAGACACTACAGGTCGTCACCCATGGCAAACAGGTGGCCTCGTTGTTGGGGTGGAGTGGGGGTCTTACCTCTCTGCAGAGGTGCAGTTGGCGTATTTTGAAGCCCTAGCCAACCGGGCATTTACTTTGTAGATATTTGTTTATATATTGATTGAATTTACAGAACTGAAATGAATTGTATTTCAGTCCCAGTTATTAATCAACATATATAATAAATTACTAAAAATTCAACAACTTTAAGCATTCCTCTTTTGTGTGCCGTGTCCCTTCAGGATTTTGGCAATCATAGCTCTCTTCAACTTTCTGTCCTTTGTATCTCTTAAGAAATTTTGTTTTTTTAGCCATCTCTCCCAAAACCTGCTCTGTCATCTATTCACCAGGTAGTTTATGCGTTGTTTTCATGTCCCTCTTGTCTTCAATCTACCCTGTGAGTATCAAATTTTCAGAGCCCTCTTTCCTCATTATGTGCCTTAGAAATTTCAACTGTCTCTTCTTGATGTTAAGTATAAATGTCCTTTTTGTTTTTGTTGTCTCTAGAACTTTGTTGTTGCTCACATGTTTGGTTCATGGTATTTGCAGCATCCATTTGTAGAATCACATTTCTGTTACTTCAAGTCTTTTCTTCATCCATGAGGAGATTGTCCTACATTCACTACCCTATATATAATATCAATCCTCCTATATGCATTACTAAAGTTTAATTTATTATTCTTTCATAATGACAATATGATTTTGCTTTCTATAAAAGAAATATAAATAAATGAATTAGAAGGATACTCAGTTTTGAAACATAGTTTGCTGACCACTAGATTAAGAGTATTGGAATTTTAATTCAATATAGAAAAAAAAATAGTCAGATTATTAGGTTCAAGAGAAAAAAATTCTCTTACCCTAATGAAAATTAAACTGGATAAAGAGCTAATGTTCATATGAAATTTAGGACTTACAATTGATAAAATAAAATTGTCTTTAAAGAGACACAAGGAAACTTCTGTTGAAGTTGTGAAATTTAGACCTGTAAGAAGTTGAAACCAAATTGTAGAAGTCATGAAAAATGTTGTCAGTGCAGGAGGTGGAAAGAATCCTTTTTGCAACAGTGTTATGATGAAAGCTTAGACTTTGTCTTTTTAAAGCAGGCTTCAGAACAAATTGTTTTTGGTTATTCTCTGCTGCAAAAGTTAATTTTTAAAATTGTTGTTCTCTTGTCATTGTGATTATCATTTCACTGCTACCACATGAATGAACAGTAATCTCCACTAGCTAGGAACCTTGTTTATATTTGGATCACCAGGATCACTCTGTTACCATTTCAAATTATGACGAGTTTGAATTCCTTGCACCTCATTGGAGGAAAATAAATCAAAGAAATGTTTTTCCTTCCTAATCCTTTTTTTCTAGATTATTCAAATTTTATAGTGTTGCAAAAGTAGGCTCAAATCAAGGCTAATCAAGAAATATATTTAAACATCTTCATGCTTATTAAAATATTGACTTTTTGGTAAGGGTAATGGGCATAGAATTGTAATTTTTTTCCCAGAAATTTTTATAAGTGGCAAATAATTAAGAAGTAGATTCTTGGTAATTGTTTGTAAATGATAATTCTTTCAGATAAAATATTTGTTTTTTTTTATGAAACACAATTCCAAGAAGCTTGATTTTTGTTGAAATATGATCAGCTGAAAGTTTCAGGAAAATATTGTCAGTTAAAGGCTTCAATCCTGACCAATTAATTTAAGCCTCTCTTAATCAGTTGCTTAGAATAGTTTTTCACCTTTTTACTATTTTTCATATGCATGAAGATTTTAAAGTTTACATGGTTCATGAATCATTGCTCTTTTATGTAAGAGATGCTTTCATCATTTATAGTTTCTGGAAATATGTATTTTTTTTGGAAATTGATTTCTCATTATGTTTTCATCATTTTTTGATGAAAATTCTAATTTTCACCATTTTTTAATTTTATTTTGTGACCTTAGATGACCTTGAAAATAAATCCAGGGTATTTATGTCATTCTGAATAAATGTTTTAATAAACCTATTTTCTCATTTATAAGTCTATATTGAATTGTATAGATAAGCAAACATATATTCACATATATATAATAGATATCCTTTTTCTTTCAGCTGTCCACACCTGTGATTGCCAATCCACTTGATCTTATACAAATGGCTATTGATGTTATTTACATCTGTGAACGGTCAGTTTAGCCTTTTGCTACTTTTAGATTTTTTGTTTGTGATTATTGTGAATGGTTTTACTTTTTTTAAAGATATATAAGAGAATCTATAAAGTATTGTTTGTAAATTGTGTATCTGAAATGTAATACAAAAGAAAAGCAATTTAATGTTCTTGTGGAAGCATCTTGGCAGAAATAATATCAATTTTTCTATAGATTATTTCTATGCATTATAATAAAATAGAACAATATTTTGCTGACACTTATATCTAAAAATTTTATTTATTATTTGATTAAACAGTATGCTTATATTTTGAAATGTATTTATTTGTAAGTAATATTATTGAAATGCAAATTCCTGGATAGTTTTAAAACCTAAGATCTTGTATTAGTAACAACTTAAGTTGATATTAATAAATTATTTTTTGATAGTAACAATTTGAAGAAAGTGAAAAAAATGTACATAAGGAATAAGTTAATAAATCTATAGTAAAAAAATTGATTTATTACTTAAATTTATGAATAGAATGCTTCTTCATAAATTTGGTTTTAATAAGGATAGGAAAGAATTAGTTAATTTTGACTAGTAGTTTTCTTTTATTTTAATCTTCTGTGTACATTTTTCTAGTTTATGTCTTGAGTAAGGTTGCAATAAAAAGCAACTAAAAAATTAAGATGAAAGAAAATTACTGGACAAAATTAAAACTTAATAATAGTTGACAATATTTCTAAAAATAAAGATAAAATGTATATATATTTCTCTAAAACATATGAGACTTAACTGGGTTTATATAACACAACATAGCTGCATTTTAAAACAAATCAGTCATAATTTAAAATTCTAGGAATCATTGACATGACTATATTGATATTGGTAACTGTTAAACATTTAAAATATCTTTAGAAATATGTAAATAATAAAAATTAATTATTTTGTATGATCACTTTTTCTGAGTAGTTGTAAAGGTGATTGAAGATATTTATCAACTACAAAGCTTTGATAATCTTGCTAACATAAAATATCATGAAAAATTTTCATAATTTAAATATTTCAGGGATAACCAAGTGGACATTGCTGGAAATATTATGAAATGCTTGCCTTTAAAAATTCCTGGGTAAGATGAGTTTTTTCTATATAGCACTTAAGAAAAACAAACACATTCACAGAAAAGTAGAAATTAAAGAATATTTGAGTACTTTGGAATATTACTTGTTTGCAAGGAAACTAAAATTTTGCCATGTCATTGGTCAAAAAGCTTTTTCTGGTTGGTTTTCAAATGGCATTGGGAGTATATAACTTCATTCAAAAAGATTACTTTTGATCATGTTGTTACAGCTATCACATCAGTGAGCAATTTGCAAAAGCAAATTGTTAAAATTAGCACATTTTTGTTTATTGATTCTAGCATTAAGATAAAACTAAATAAAATTTTAGTTATTTTCATTATAGCAAAAATAAACATGTCACTCAAATACAAACAAAATTTGTACCAGGATAACTCAACCTTCAAAGTGATGTATGTTGACAGATTTAAGAGCAAATTATATATTACTTCAAACATAATTATAGTGGTTACTTTGTATTTGAAATAGACTCCCCATTATTGTGAATTATGCCTATCAGCCTGCATTTGAAAAATCGATATGAATTGAACTTGTATTCCCCTTTAAAGCAATAAAAATGTCAGATTAAAAATAAATCCATTAATGCTTCAGAAATTACTTTGTTTAGGATATGACTTGATTGAATAGATATGAAGCTTTCAGGAAAATAATTTGAGTAAAGAGAAAATAAAACCTTGCTTGTTTTGACATTCTTTGTGGTTGAGCAGTAAAGCATGCTGAATTAAATGGTGGTTTTCACTACAAAAGGGGATGCAGGTTTGATTCCTTCTGGGAATGCGTTATCTTTAACAAGATTTCTTGAATGTGCAGGCTGATAGACATAATACAGTTTAATAAATAAAATTGTGTTTATTTCAAATATGAAGTATCCACTATAATAATGCTTGAAGTAATAAAAATGTTGGATTACAAATAAATCTATTAATCCTTTATATATATATATATATATATATATATATATATATATATATATATATATATATATATAAAGACAAAAGGAAAACTTATCTTAACCAACATGTTTTGTTCTTTTCATGGACTTTATCAAAGCAAATGTCTTTTATCAAGGCAAAAGTTTTATTTTGTGACAAGTATTTATAAAACAAAAGAGATGCTCATAAATATTCATTAGGTTAGCTGAAAAGTCTAGGTAAATTATGAAGTAAAGTAATTTAATGTTTAATAAATGAAAGTGAGTAAATGATATTGAATTTTTTTTATGCGATCAATATTTAAATTATTTTAGTTTAGGATTAATTTAAGTATTGTATATTTTAAATAACAGGAGTTTATGAATTTAACTGTTTTCTTTTAATTTTTTAACATTTTTATAGTCATTTATGTTGACTTGGGAAAGGAGGAATTTGAAAAAATGCTGGGGATAGATTTATATTTTGATAAGATTTGATAGAGACACTCTCAAAGTAAGTTACTTTCTCTTTTAATAAGTGTGGTATTCTTTAGATCAAAGTTGTGGTTGAATCTGTTTCTAGGTATAACTAATGTATTTTGTGTTCATAGATACATTTTTTTTTAATAGATAATTTTGGGATTGACAAAATTACAGAAATAATAAATAGAGGATAGTGACAACATACCAGAAGACCTTGAAAGATTCATAGACTGCAAAAAGGACAAGAACAGTGTGGCTTGTTTAGTGACACTGGAATAAGAAATGCCATATCAGAATGTTGTAATGGAATGTCCCACACTCCCTATCGCCTATGTAGACTGACTATATCAGTAGCTATATATAGTGAGCACAGGATATATACCTGAGGGCTTGTTTCAGGAATTACTAGCCTGCCACCTGATTCCCTGTCTTTCAATAGTGTATTCTCTTTTACAATAAATCTCTCTTCTTTCATCTACGCACATGTTGCTGTTCCTTCACTTGAGTACCACCTTTGTCTTTTTATAAACTTTTTAAGGATACAACACAGAATATCAGAGTGGGCAATACAAGTGCAGAAGAAGTGGTTAAGATTGCAGAGATCATGGAAGCATCCTTGTTGTTTCCACAAACCAGTGGTTTGTGAGAAGAAATGTTTCAAGCAGAACTTACAGCTTACTAATGGAACATGCAAGGAACTAGTGTGGCATGGCAGGTGAAGGTTATAACTGGTGGAACTAAGGAATGTAGTTCATCTGAAAGCTTTCCATGGAAATAGTGATAGTGTAACAAGATATATCTGTTTATATCTCTGGGATGAGGTATTATGATTATTTACATTATTTGGACTGTTATCCTCATCTTCATTGCCATATCGACAACGTTTCAGCCATTGTACATTTCGGCCTTCTTCAGGTGATTGGAATTTCAAACCAAACCCTTTATTTTGTCCACTGGGGTAGAGTGTTCTAGTTCCACATGACATGCCTCTTCCAGGTGTCTCAGTTATTTTCCCTTTAACTTAGCTTTCCAAGTTTGGTTCACCACTGCTATGGCCTGTTATTGAATGTTGGTTAGATCCAGTGACTTTAAAAGAGTTGTGAGTTCACAGCAGTGGTGAACCAAACTTGGAGAGTTGAGTTAAAGGGAAAATAACTGAGACATCCAGAAGAGGCATGGCATGTGGAACTAGAGCAAACTACCCCGGTGGATGAAATAAAGTGTTCAGTTCGAAATTCCAATTACCTGAAAAAGCCTGGTGTGTACAACGGCCGAAATGTTGTGAATATGGCAATGAAGATTCAAAGAGTTGTGAATTCAATACCAGGTAAATAATATAAATACCATGTAAATAATGTATGTAACAAGAGACTTGCGATGTTTCATCTGTGAGTAAGGGATTGCAGGCTGGAAAGTGATTTGTCATCCACAAGGACACAGAAGAAATTTTAGACTGGGAAGTGAAGACTGGGAAGCTCTTGCTCATATATAGCAGTGGTACTCCATTTTTGGCTTGATCTGGCTTTTGTAAAGGTAGAGGATAGCAGCAGGAGTCAGGTACTTACTGGAGTGGTATTGTAGCGGACCCCAGAGCGCCCCAGTATCACACAGAGGTAACTCCGACAGTATTCTTGCACTTTTTGCTGACTTGTGTAGGCAGCCAGCCACCCACCCTCTTTTTGTCAGAAGCATCTCTGAGTTTTCATAACCATAACCACACACAAATAAAAATGAATGCATGTAGCAAATGAAATAAATAGATTTGTTTTTAAAACACAAAAAATTAATTTATTTGGACAATTTTTCTCACTAAATACTTGATTTAGATAGATCAGGTAGAGGCCAAATGCATTGTTTGAATAAAAGTAATTTTTAAAAATAAACTCAATTTCTGATACAGAATTTGTCTCTGTTAAGAATGATGTATTAATAACATGCATTTTTTTTTCCAATGTGGAATAGGGGTGTAGACTTTTGAAACATTTTGTACATGTATATTGTACAGCATGTAAACAAAAGACTTGCAGTACTTTGGGATTAATATTTGTAATTTAATTTCTTGCTAAAATTTTATTTACTTTTTTGTACGTATTGAATAAAATTGGATGTAATGTATAAACAGATTACAATGGAAGTAGGAATAATTGGGTATATTAAATAATGATATTTTAACAAGAAGTCACAACAAAAGACCAAGTAACTTACCCACCCAGAAAATTGGCAGGGAAAATTCAACAACATAAAAGTCAAATTTTGTGTTTCACATAACAAAGGCTAGAAAGCTGGCTGAGATGTGATTGCTCCTGCTTGCATCTCCTGGTAGAGATTTAGATGTCTGAAATCCCTAATAACACTATGAATCAATATTTGTGATGACACTTCCCAGCACACCACATAGGTTTTGAGAAGTCTGCTCAGTTTTTGTGTACATTTACAATTTGCATTTCTACCTTTTATTGATAAATTAATGTGCTCTGTCATATTTATTTAATTTCTTTGTAAGAAATTTTGTAACCATAATCTATTTTTATCTAAAATAATCCATAATATAGAATTAATAAAAATTACACTATTGAAAAAGCAGTTTGTAAAATTACATACAATATATATATTCAGTGGTTAAGAAGAGTGTTTATATTCTGTATATATGCCTTCTTTTAGTTTATTTTGTTTATTAGTAGATGTAAAAATTCAATTTGTATATTACAGTATGTGTTTGTTTTGTAGTGCAGGATCATATACACAAGAATTGCAGAGACAGAGAGAAAATTTAGAAAGCCACATTTGGTGAGTTAATTTCTTATAGCAAATATGTCTTTGAGAGTAACTGATTTATATTTTTATTATATTTTTATGCATATATTTTAATGGCTTTTCAATTTCAGAAAGTTTTTATTCTAGTTTATTCGTTTATTTGTGACAGTTTTCTATTTGATTTGACATTTACAAAGCATTTATTAAAGCAAAATTTTTCATTGGCTTAAAATGTCTTTACATATTTCCTTCTGACACTTCTGATTAGATCTTTTCTTTATATAATTCTTTTAATGTAGCTGTCTACCTTTAATTTGTTCTTTTCTCTCTCCAGGGCAGCACAAATATTTAATGAGTATGGTTTACAACAAACTATTTATACTATCAAAGATTCACAGGTAATTATTTCTACTATTTATAAACTGGAAGAAGTTCTCAAATCTTGATGCATTCCATAAAAATATTGTGCTCTGTCAGCATTTTACATATATTTTTTAATGTAAAAAATTAATTTGTCGTTTTTACCACTTTGCATAAGCAAAGAATGGGTAATCTGGAAGACAGAACTTGTCACTGTTGTTACTGCTGTAGAGGTTTATTGCTTCTTCACCTCAGCAAATGTTAATTCAAAGAAAAGGAATACATCAGATTTTGGGTAAATAAATGTATATTTTATTCACGTATAGAGAAGGAGAAAGAATGCTGGTGGCTGTCGGCTGATGTTCTGTGAAGACGTCAGCGTTGAAAGTTGAAATTGATAGCATCATGTTCAGTGTGCCTGCCGCTTTCTCGGACAACCTCTGCGTGTCAACATCTCAGCCGGGTCTCTGACTTTTGCAGTGTTGAATCGGGGAATTTATATCAATTATATCGGCTCTAAAACACAGTTTGTATCTTTTAGCAGGAATCATTTTTACTGGCCAATATTTAGTTCATTTTATTTCGCTTAATACCAAAAACATGCATCGAGCCATGATGTGCAGTGACAAGGTTTCACATTCTGCTTTGGGTCGTCAAGCATCTGGTTTATATAGAAGAGTGGAAGAGAAATGACAGTATCAACCATAATAAGTATCTCTGCTGCCTGTTTACTTTTCACAACTCTCTTACCAAGGTGCTCTGTCAGCTGGGGCTGCAGAATGCACTAACTGCACCTCTACAGAGATGTAATACTTCCCACCTCCTCAGGTGAGGCTACCTGTTTGCCATGGATAGCAACATGTGATGCCTCAGGGTTTTAGGAGATGGGTTGATATACTCTTGAATTCCAACACATCACTTTGGCCCTTACTTGGGCTAGATGTGCAGTTGGAGAGGTCTGATCCAATTAATTGACTGGTCATGACAAGCCCTCATTTGGGTTTTTGTAAAAGTTATTTTTCAAAAACCTGAATCAGAAGGTAGTGGCTGTAGGGTCAATCATGCTGGGGAGGGACCAGTATTTTTATATTACCCAAAGTAAATAGTAATCTTGGGTACAAAAACTTAGAAATTTTGTTTCTTTCTCTGATGTGAGTACCCTGAATTTGTAACCCTGATCTGCCAAGGTAAATGGGTTTCCCCCTTGGCATTTCCCCTTCAAGGATTCCAAGGTAGATGGAGGAGCACATTCAATGAAAATGGTACTATAATTTTATGAATACAAAAAAAATAAAAACCTAAGCAAAATATCCCTACTCTGAATCTGATTCAGCACCTGATCAAGCAGAACACATCTCTAAATTTTTAGTACTGGAATCTAAAGAGGAGACTCCCTTGACCAAATTGTCTACCTTTATAATTCAGAAGTTCATTTCATCCATAATAAATACCAAATCAGTCAAAAATTTAAAAAATAGAACTATCCTTATAGAAGTAATAAGTAAAAAATGACAAAATACTTTTAAAAATGACAAAGTTTCATCAACAGAAGATTAATTTTGTATCCACATGATTGCTTAAACACCTCCAAAGGAGTGGTACAAAATAAAGAACTAAATCTCTGCACCATAGCGGAAATAAAAAGTGAACTATATAAAACAAAATGTAATATATGTACAAAGATTAAGCATAAAACAAACAAGATCAAATAATAAACACAAATACATATGTCCTAACATTTAACAAACCAATACTGCCAGTAGAAATAAAAATTGGTTATTTCATAGCCAAGGTCGATAAATACATTCCGAGTTCTAGAAGGTGTCATAATTGTCAGAGATATGAACATTTAAAAGAATTTTGTACAAGGAAAACAAATGTGGAATATCCAAACCAGAACATGAAGAATTAACATGCAAGGACAATCTAAAATGCATCAACTACAATGGAGACCATAGGGTGGACTCAAGAGAGTGCAAGACATGGGAGAAGGAAAAAGAAATTATAAAAACCAAAATCACACAAAATATTAACATTTCAGAAGCAAAGAAAATTATAGAGACTACTTCCAAATCACCAACTTATGCAAAAGTCACAAAAATTAATACAAATGACAACTAGGAAACTCATACAGGAAAAAATGAAAGAAGAGTTAACAACTCTAATAAGTGAATTACAGAGTTTGATTAAAATCCTAAAACCAATATAGCCAACACAGAAACAATCACCATGACCAAATCAAATATTATCCCCCAAAGACTTAACAAAAAAGATGAAATGCCAAACTCACAAAAAAACATATCAAACAACATCAAGAACAAGAGGAAAAGAAGAAAAACAAAAGCCAACACAAAACCATCAAATTAAAATGAAGGACAGATTTGAAAATTTTGAAAAAATGGAAACTGATATAGACTCTTCATCTACTAAACAAAACACCAAAATAAAATGAAATTTAAAACAAATATTATTCAGTGGAACAGAAGAAATTCAGAAACTTATAATGGAAAGCAATCCAAATATAATATACTTACAAGAAAAAATGCTGAAAGAAAATAGTAATATTACATTCAGACCTATAATAATAGTCCTACAATTAGTGTAAATAATAGACTAAATGATGGTACCTTACATTATTTACATTATTCGGACTATTGTCCTCATCTTTGTCGTCATATTTATTATGTTTTGGCCGTTGTACACTCTGGCCTTCTTCAGGTAGTTGGAATGTTGAACTGAACCCTTTCAATATGAAAAAGAAAGCAATAAAAACCTTTGGTTTGCAAATAGAAGAGAACACAGAAGTTAGTAAAATACCCATAATATTTATTTGCACGTCCACCATACCTAAAATCCCACCTTGGACAACAAGGCAGCCCAAAGTGCTCCTCAGTCTACATGAGAGCTCAAAACAAAATAAAAACCCTGGGGACCATTGTCTGAGACCAGTGCATTGGTATTCCATGGTGAGCAATTATTTCTTGCATCAGCTGTATTGTGTGTGTGGCCATAATGCTCTTTATAATAGATGCCTCAGACAATTGTGAGTGAGCATGATGAAAAATAGAGTCCTTGAAATGGCCCAGCAAAATCTACATGGATGCATTGCCATTGTGAACTTAGCCATTTCCAAGGATGTAAATAGGCACACTGGGGCATATTTAAATTTGTTTGGCACCCTTCACATTCCTTGGTCAATAGTTCGACATCTTTGTTGATTGAGAGCCACCACACACATAGCTTTGAGCCAAAGCCTTCATTTTCATTATTCCCAGGTGTCCCTCATGTATCTTCAGTACCCATTTTCATAGAGCTGAGGGGATTGTTACTCTCATTCCCCAGGTTAGTATCTCTTGTGAGGTTGATAATTCATACCTTTTTGGGAATTAAGGTTGACATCCTTTATCCTCATCCCTTCATCACTTTCTCCAGGACAAGTGAATGGGTTGGATCACATCTTATTGCTGTCCTGATTTTGCCACATGTAACAGGTAGCTACTCCAGTTGTGAAAGATGAAACAAGATGGAAGTGTCCATCTCCTCTTTGTCCATTGTTTGCCTTCAAGTGTCAACTTGGATAATCCATCTGCATTGGAATGTAGTTTCCTCTATGATATTATGTAAAATATCATAGTTGTATCCTGAGAGGAAAATTCTATAGCTGTTCTGTTGTCATTACAGGTATTCCCTTTTGTGGATGCAAGATAGAGATCAGGGCTTTGTGGTAAAATTTTGTCCATATACGTAATGATGGAAGCATTTTACCCTCCAAACAAGAGCCAATGCCTCTTTGTCAATCTGAGAGTAATTATGCTATGGTTTAGTGAGTGACCTTGATGCAAAAGCTATGGGCCATTCAGTACCATCCTCCATTTTGTGAGATAGCACAGCTTCAACCCCATAGAGAGATGTACCACCTGCTACTTGAATTGGTTTTCTGGGGTCATAATATGTATGTACCCTATTTGATGTGACCAATTCCTTAGCATGTAGGAATGCTTTTTCATATTGTGTCTTTCTGTAACAACTGATGTAGTGGGTGCAAGAACTGGTGACAGTAATTTATCATTTCCAGGAAACAAATTGTAGCTGTTGTATGTTGTTGGGTCATGGTGCTTCTTGAATGGCCCGTTTTTTGTCAGGAGACATTTGTTAGAGCAAGCGCAGAGAACTCATGTCTGCAATAGGTAATCCTGTCCATGAAGAATTTATATTTATTTAAGCAGGCCTTTACATTATATTCTTTTAGTCGCTTCAGCACTGATTCTACATTGTGTAGGTGTTCTTCATCATCTGTCCCTGTGAGGATCATGTTGTCAATTATGCACTCTGTTTTGGGCATATCTGCTAGTATCTGGTCCATTGTGCACTGTCATATTGCTCGGCTTGATGCAATATCAAATGGTAAGTGGTTTTGCTGGTATGCCCCTTGTGTGTGTTCAGGGTTAAATACTGCTTGGATAATTCCTGCATTTCCATTTGCAGGTATGCCTACCACAAGTCAATCTTTGTAAACTGTTTACTACTTGCCAATTTTGCGAATATATCTTCAATTTTTGGCAAGGGGTATTGGTCTACTCTCAGACATGGGTTCACAGTGGCTTTATACTTTCTGCAAATCCACATGGTTCCTAACTTTTTTACTATAGGCACGATTGGGGAATCCCACTTGCTTGTTGTTACTTTTGTCAGGATTCCTGTCTTTTACAATTCTCTAACTCTGCTTCTACTACTGTGCACAACACATATGGTACTGACTGGGACTTTAGGAATACTGGTTTGATGTTGTCTTTTAAAGTTAGCTTAGCATTAACACCTTTTATGGTCCTCAATTCCTCAGCAAAAACTTTACTATACTTTGTGCAGAGGTATCTTAGCTTGATTTGGATTGTCTCTTTTCATGGTGTTGACTGTATCACCTGTATCTCTTGCCAGTTTGATTTTATATAGCAGAGCTACTCTCTGCCAAAGACTGTTGGATCTTCTGAATCCACAACATACAAGTCCAAGTTGTCCACCTGTGTCCCCTGATATTTCACCAAGACCCAAATTTTATCCCTTGGGTATAGCTGCTATCCCCTGTAAGTGCACACTTGAGTGGCAAATGAGAGAAGTTTTTCTCGTAAATTCTCAGTGGTACTATTGAAACTGCTGACCCTGTGCTCAACTCCATTTTCAAAGGTCAGCCAGCAATAGTAGATGTAATTCATATTACCCCCCTGTTAGTTTTTCTCATGCAATCAACATTAATGTACTTAACTAGAAAATCCTCTTTATTGCTACTGCCTTGTCAGGACATGCTAAACGAAAGCTGCATGAAGTGAGATACATAACCAATCCAGAGTTGATTAGTGCCTCTAGTACTATTGGTAAAAGACTAATAGGATGATAATTCAAGGAGTCAGAGTTCTTAAAGATAGGATCTACAGAAGCTGGAAAGTAAGAATGAGTTTTTCCTAGTTATTTCTAAGTTAAAACCCAACTGTTTCCAAACACTAGCATCATTTATTGAATAACAATAATTTTCTAAGTTGATTTTTTATACCTTATCACTTCTCTAGATGCACTGAAGAAAATTATCTTTCTTAAAAAGCTCTCTTCTGTTTTCCAGTCTAGGATAATCTACTTGAGATGCTCTTGATTGTTCCCACTTTCATATAAGTCTCACTCTTTATCCTATTATACATCTCCAAAGTCAGAATCTCAAAAACTTGATAATAGTAAAAAAAAATAAAAAATGGAATGAGCATAATTTAACAAAAACAAGAAAGATTATTTTTGTTTTCTTGATAAAAATAACTTTTCAAATATGTATATTTGGGGAGTAAAGAAAGATTTTCCTTCAATGTTGATAGTAATTAAGAATTTAAAAGATTATAGGGTTTACATTCAAACTTTGCGATGTATGGGTTTAAGACTAAACTTTGAGATAAGTTTTATTTAAAGTAGCATTTGTTTACTTATTGTATTTAAAGACATTTTTTGTATAGATGTTTCTTATTGTTTTTTTTTATATTCTAAAATTTAATAAAATATTTAAATGTTTCATATTTAGTTTCATATTCAGTTCCTCCATTTATTTTACAAAGAGAATTTTTTACAGTGAGGTTTACATTAATGCATTTCTGTTATCATTTAAATATGAATTTGTTAGGAATGCATCCTTTTTCAAAGTGTTTTGTTTTAAATGTGTCAAATTTACTTTCAAATTGTTAGAGACCACATTTAAATTTTTAACTATTTCTACATACTTTGTATATAAATTTTTAAATCGCCTAATATCCATATTTCATTTGCTGTAATTATTGAAAAAAATATAAAATTATATGAAATAATTTTTTCTTTTTCTTTTTTTTTTCTAACTGCATAGAAAAATATAGAATCCACAAAGAATTTACTTGTGAAGTTAACACGTTCTGCTGGTAGACGGTAAGTGCATTTTATTAGTTTATTGTCTAGTTGAAAAGTGAGTTTTCATTGATTAATATGTTATTTCAGTTAATATTTTACTTACAGAAAAAATAGCATAATACATACTTGTCAGGAATATAATTTTTGCATAAGTTTTAAAGGTTGTGGTATATATTTCATCTCTTAGAACACCAGCAATGAATGAGAAAGAATGGTTTGACTTTCACAGAAGTGTCACCAAACTTCAAGAAAGACTTTTCCAGAACATTACTCCTGCTGAAGCCTTGGAGGTACAGTTTTCATTATAATTACCATATGTTATTCTTATGTTCTTAATCATTTTTAAAGGAATTAAAACAGACAACAATATTTTGTAAGAATATTCAGTCAATTGTACCATTATATTTTCAAACTTATTACAGTTTCACAAAATGAACTGTTAAGATTGTTCTATTGAGAATAATAACTGCAAGTAAAAGAACTGACTATAGAATGCAACTCCATTCATGACAAGTTTCTAAGTAGCTACTTTTATCTCTTGTATTTATAGTTTATTCTGTCCAGGATTATATGTGTGTTGTATCTGCACTAGTAAACTCTCACTTAAATACAATTTGTGCTTTGTGTAGCATAATGTAGCTATTTAAAAAAAAATCCAACATTTACTAATCCCTACCCAATTCTGTAACAGATTAAGATATTTGAGTTTTGTTTATATTATCTTTCTACCAAGTAAGTCATGGATATGACAATAAACTTCCTCTGGCAGCAAGACCACTGATCAGGAGATTGGAGGTTTTCAGGAGCATGCAATCACCTCTTTTGCTGTCGTTCCTAGATCCACTTTGATCTGTTAGGGTCTCCCAAGCAAAAATCAAAACACTAGGAAAGTATAAAAATACATTTTGATAGTAAAAATACCAGTAATAAATTTTGATATATCAGGTCATCCCATAAGTTCTGTACGAATTTTAACTTTTTGTTAAAATGAACAAAATTTAAAGAGTATTTTATAATGTCTAATGGAGCTGAACATTATTTTTATGTTTCAGAGAACAATAAAATTAAATTTTGTTTGATTAAAACCCTGCTAACATGGAAGTACCCAAGAATCATTTGAGGCACATAATGCTTTATGAGTTCAAGAAAGGAAACTCAGCAGCTGAAGCGGCTAGAAACATTCACTCAGTTCATGGAGAGGAATGTGTGAATGAAAGAACTTGCAGAAGATGGTTTGCAAAATTCAGAGGTGGAGATTTCACCCTTGATGATGAAGATCGAACCGGATGTCCAGTTGAGTTTGATGAAAAGCTTCTTGAAGCAGCCCTTGAAGAAAATCCTGCTTTATCAGTTGAAGAATTGGCAGTGGTTCTCAGTTCAAACCATACAACTGTTCATCGTCATCTTCAACAACTTGGAAAAGTTCCTAAACTTGGAAAATGGATGCCTCATGAATTGTCTGAAAACAACCTCAAATCCCGAGTTGATATTTGCTCTTCTCTCCATTCTCGCCAACTTGTTTCACCTTTTTTGGATAGACTTGTGACTAGTGATGAAAAATGGATCTTTTATCGAAATGTTAAGCGTCGTAGACAGTGGCTTGGTAAAGGGGAAGGACCCCAGCCACAGCCGAGGAAGGAACTTCATGGGCAAAAGGTTCTTCTTTCAATCTGGTGGGATCACCAAGGAATAATCCACTTTGAATTCTTACCACCTAATGCAACAATTAATGCTCAAATATACTGTCAGCAATTAGAGCGTTTGAACCAAGCTTTGAAGAAAAAAAGACCTGCTCTAGTGAATCAAAAAGGGGTGATGTTTCATCAGGACAATGCGCGACCCCACACAGCAAGAATCACATCACAAAAGATCAAAGAACTTGGTTGGGAGAAAATTCCTCATCCACCTTATTCTCCTGATCTTGCTCCTTCAGTCTACCATTTGTTTCGTAGCTTACAGAATCATTTGGAAGAAACAGCTTTTGTAACACAGGAAGAGGTTAAAACTGACATTTGTGAGTTCTTCGAATCAAAACCAAAAGAATTTTACAGTAATGGAATGAGTAAGCTTGTTAATAGATCGAAGGAAGTCATAGATAATCAGGGAAAATACATTGTTGATTGAATCTGTAATTAAATGTAACATTTAGTCACTTGTTTTCTTTATTCAAAATTTGGACAGAACTTATGGGATGACCTGATAAAAAAAATTACCAACAATACATTTTTATTGTGATTAATAATACATTTTTATAACAAAATTACAATCGTACATTTCATACTAAAATTGAAGACATGTCATATATTGTCAAAAAAATATATAGTCATTCATGTGAATTAATTATAAAGTTTGAATTATTTAGATTTCATATGCCCAATGTAGGTTGATATGATGCTAAATAAAAACAACCAAACCAAGCCAAACTTTCTATCAAATAACACTGATTCTGTAATTGTTAATCTTGTTTAAAAGGCCCCATCTTTGCTTATGAGGGTTTGCTGAAAATATTTTGGTGCAACCAAGAGGGATTAAAAAATAAATACTGATATTTAGCTATTTCATCAACTTATTTAAGATGAATCACTCAAAGCTTTTTTTTTATGTAAGTGTATATGTGTGTTAACCCATAAATATAGCATACCTCAAAGCTGTATTTTTATCATATATATATATCATGTATATTTGTGTATATTGTTGTGTATGAATATATGCTATTGGTTTCATTTACAAAGCAGATAGCTATACAACATAAACATATAAAAAAAGTTCAAATAAACCACAAAAGTCTTCATATAAAAACACTTGAAAAAAAACATATAAATAAATAAAATGTTCATACAAGGTGTGCATGTATTTCTTTGTAAGTGACTTGATATCTCAAGTAAAATATAATGTTTAGTACTTATGTTGATTGTCACAAGCCTGAATTCATACGTCTTTCTAGTTTGACTGCCAGAGGATGTTTGACTTTTGCACCTAACAATCTCTCATGCAGTTCACATGACAGTATGTTATTCTTGTAACTATCTATATATCTATTTTTAGCTTTTTAAAGGGTTAGTCAAAGGGAGATAACTTTTTATCTCTCACAGCAAACCTCCCTGCCTAGTAGTGGAGTTTAGTAATAATCATATTGGCTGTCTCTTTTCCAAGAAACTTTTCTACTTACTTTAATATGACTGGGCTTATCATTCCTGTCTATTTTTTCTGTATCCATTATTATTTTGTCACTATTAGGTTGCTTTTCAGTTATTACTTGCTTATTAGTTTTAGGTTCAACATGTGGTTTTAACCTATCTATTGATACCATTGACTGTATCTCATTATTCGTTTTAATCACAAAATATTTATCAGTTCTATGTAACACTTGGAAGGGACCGGTGTAAGGTGCCTCCAAAGGTTTACAAACTCTGTACACTCTTAGCCATACACTTTTACATGTTTTAAGCTTGTCTGGGATGTATTGATGCAATTTATTTACAGAGCTATAATCTTTGTTGGCTGTAAGGAGTGTAAGGTATGTTGCAATTCCTTAGCAAACTTCTGATTGTCTATGTCACTGTTAGTATCTTCTACTAGCAATTGAGGAATCATTATATGTGTGCCTGTAACTGCAAAGAATAGTGAAGTATTAGAAGAATTAGGTGCAGCACAGATACCTATTAATATTATTGGGAGGGCGTCAAGCCATGATTCCTTTCTTGTCATTATTGCCGTCTTCATTGTTCTATGAGCATGTTCGACCATTCCATTAGTTTGTGGATGGTAACTAGTTGTGCGCAATCTCTATAGATTGCACACAACTAGTTACCATCCACAAACTAAGCCAACTGTTAAGGCTATTTCTGAAAATAATTTGCTCTCAAACTGAGTACCATGATCAGTTATTATGTGAAGAGGAACACTCCATCATGTGATCCACGCATGGACAAATGCATTGGCAACAGATCGAGCTGTGATATCCTGTAGTAGTTCTGCTTCTATCCATCTAGTAGTGCGGTCAATACAGGTTAATACATATCTGTAAGGCGCGTTGTACGTTTCATGATGTCTTCTAGTCACAGGGAGAGGACCGATTAAATCTAAGTGTACCATACTGAAGTGAATACTCAGCAATTCAATAGGGTGAATAGCAGATTTAGAATGTCTCTGAATTTTGCTTTTCTGGCTAGTTTGACATTTATTACACATGTATTTTTTTGTTTTGTATATACAAGGCCAAAAAAATCTTGTTTTGACAATTTTACACAAAGTATTAATCCCAGGGTGTGATATTGCATGAATACTGTCAAAATAGATTTTCATAATTCACCAGGTATATATGGTTTGGGAACACCAGTACTATTATCAAAGTATATGGAACTATTATTGCCAGTACTAAAATTGAATTTTTTTAAGTCAGGAAATTTTTCTAACTCAGGATCCTTAAGTTGTGCAGCAGCTATAGCCGACAAGTCACCCAGATCTACCATAACTGATAGGGTAGGTCTTGACAAACAATCAGCTATAATATTTTGATCTCCATTTATGTGGCCTATATCTGTAATATATTCAGTTATAATTGCTAATTGCTGCTTCTGTCTATCTGACTTAGCAGGGTTTAGGCTATGGAATGTGCCACATAAAGGCTTATAGTCATATACATACATATATACACACACACACACACACACACACATACTTACATGTACATACCTAAAAAAGTATATAGGTAATATATACAAACACACTCCTAAACATATAAGTATAAACAGGCACATAAGAGTGCACCCCATCAAGTGTACATATATACATACACACAATACATATACATACACATATATACTAATATATACACACACACACATGCCCACATATACAAAATATATATACACTTAACCATATACACAAAAATAAAAAAGATATACATAAGTACATATGTATACTAATAAATATATATACATAAAAAAGAAAAAAAAGCTTTTCTATATATATATATATATATATAATGGAAAATGTATACAATAGATAATACAGGTAAAAAATAATCCATAAATAAAGATTATAGAAGTTGGAGGGAGGGAAACTACATGAAGGATCATACATGGATACTGTGATTGCATGTATTCATACATATTAGTATTATACAAAGCATCCAAATTTTCAAGTGTGAGGTTCTCCAAAATAGATGTTATTCAAGAATTTTGAAAAGTTTTCTATGTCTGCACTTGAAGACAAGCTCATTGTGTTGGTTCAGTAACTCATTAGTGTTCTGATATTTAATTATAATAATCTTTTCTTTGATGCAAAG